TTTAAACTCAAAAGAAGTATCACTAAAAGCATCATAGATTATTTAGACAGATTCAATATGAAGGTTAATATATATTACATATCCAACAATTTAATTTTATAATTTGGGCAATGCCTGGGATTTCCGCTACCCTCCCCTCACCCATGGTGGCTCTGGCAGTAGTTTTGAAAACCAATGCACAATGTACACCATCAGAATTGTTACTGCTGAAACTGACAAAGGACTAATCTCCAAAATACACAAGCAGCTCATGCAGCTCAATATCAAAAAAAACAAATAACCCTATCCAAAAATGGGCCGAAGACCTAAATAGACATTTCTCCAAAGAAGATATACAGATTGCCAACAAACACATGAAAGGATGATCAACATCACTAATCATTAGAGAAATGCAAATCAAAACTACAATGAGATATCATCTCACACTGGTCAGAATGGCCATCATCAAAAAATCTAGAAACAATAAATGCTGGAGAGGGTGTGGAGAAAAGGGAACACTCTTGCACTGCTGGTGGAAATGTAAATTGATACAGCCACTATGGAGAAGAGTACGGAGGTTCCTTAAAAAACTAAAAACAGAACTACCATACAACCCAGCAATCCCACTACTGGGCATATACCCTGAGAAAACCATAATTCAAAAAAAGTCATATACCACAATGTTCACTGCAGCTCTATTTACAATAGCCAGGACATGGAAGCAACCTAAGTGTCCATCGACAGATGAATGGGTAAAGAAGATGTGGCACACATATACAATGGACTATTACTCAGCCATAAAAAGGAACGAAATTGAGTTATTTGTAGTGAGGTGGATGGACCTAGAGTCTGTCATAGAGTGAAGTAAGTCAGCAAGAGAAAAACAAATACTGTATGCTAACACATATATATGGAATCTAAAAAAAAATGGTTCTGAAGAACCTAGGGGCAGAACAGGAATAAAAATGCAGACGTAGAGAATGGACTTGAGGACACTGGGAGGGGGAAGGGTAAGCTGCAATGAAGTGAGAGTGGCATGGACATATATACACTACCAAATGTAAAATACATAGCTAGTGGGAAGCAGCTGCATAGCACAAGGAGATCAGCTCTGTGCTTTGCAACCACCTACAGGGATGGGATAGGGAGGGTGGGAGGGAGATGCAAGAGGGAGGGGATATGGGGATATATATATATATGTATATGTATAGCTGATTCACTTTGTTATAAAGCAGAAACTAACAAACCATTGTAAAGTAATTATACTCCAATAAAGATGTTAAAAAAAAAAAAGAATTGTTACTGCTGAGAATACATTTTACGTAAGAGGGTTTTTAAAGCAGAAAAGAACAACCACAGGGAACAGACAATCCCGATTTTGTTATTTTGAGTGGGAATTAAATAAATTTTTTAGATATCAATGGTGTATTTAATTTGAATAGTTCTGATTAATAACTGCTGCTTATCTTCTCACACAAGGAACAGATTTCCACCCCATCCTGGGTACTAACAATAACAACCACTTCTGTAAAGCTTACTACGTGTTAGGTACTCTTCTAAGCACTTTAAAGATATGCACTCATTTAATCTTAATAACAACTCTAAGAGGTAGGGAATATTATCCCCAGCTTACACATGAGGAAACTCAAGTCTAGAGAAGTTAAGTAACTTGTCCAAGGTAATACAGCTAGGAAGTAGTGGAGCCAGAATTCAAATGTAGGCAGTTTAGTTGCTGAATCCGTTCTCTTAACCACTCTGCAGCAAGAGAGAGCAGAGCATTTCATATACAAGTATTTTTAGACCTCTGCTTCCAGTAACGGAAGACTGGGTAACTCAGATGAACCCTCCCAGACAGCTAGAAAAGCTGTCGATTTTAAAAAATTGAATCAAATACATCAGATAATTAACAAAGGGTAGAGAATTACCAGGCCACAGTCTAAAGACGGCAGAAAGCAGAGAAGTAAGCCACACCTGGGGCTTCTTTCACTATAGGGACATTTGACAATTCTGGAAAAGATAGCTAGGAGGCTGTTCAGTATTTTTGCCAGTTTCGTAAGGCTACTGGAACAAAAGTTGAAGTCCAAGTCCTGTCAAGAGTGAGAGCCTGGCAAAACCCTCAGGATTGGACTGGGACTCTGAAAGCTGCATCTTAGGAATAAGGGTGAACCAGAAATAAACTGAAACTTTCATGGACTGCAGTCCAGTTTCAAGTCATCCGGGTAGACCAGAAAATTTCAATCCCTGAAACTGAATTAAGGTGATCCTGTCCTACCAATGCTTCTTCCAGGCATCTAAGGGCAAGGAAAATCCTCTATGAAGGAATATAATATTATCTGAGATTTTAAGCTATTTCTACAATTTTTCAAATAAAATATCTGGCACATAGCGAAAGAAAATCAGGCATAAGAGAAAAGACGATATGAACATGATGCAGCAGAAAAAAACAGATGTTAAAAACAGAAACAGGGACGATCTAGATATTGGGATTATCAGAGAAAGACTTTAAGATAACTACTTTATTTTCAAAGAGATAACAGATTATATTTAAACTTTTGGCAGAGAATTCAAACCTATAAATAATACGAGAGATGTGAAAAATAAATAGAAATTCAAGAATTAAAAAATGTTTCAAAGGGGTGAAATCACACAGTGTATGTTCTCTGGCCACAATGCAATTACATCAGAAATTATTGATAAAAAGATAATTTTCATATGTTTTAAAATTAAGAAATACATATCTAAATGGAATAAATATACCTCTAAATCAAAGAGGAAGTAATAGTGGAAATTAGAAAATATTTTTGAACTAAATTATAAAAAAAATAATGCTATAGTATGCAGTTAAAATTGTACTTAGAGAAAGGTTTATAGACTTAAATGGATATGTTAGAAGAAGAAACATTAAAAATTAATGAGTTAAATACCTTATAAGAAGATACAAGAGGGACTTCCCTGGTGGTTCAGTGGTTAAGAATCCGCCTGCCAGAGCAGGGGACACAGGTTCGTGCCCTGGTCCAGGAAGATCCCACATGCCACAGAGCAACTAAGCCCATGTGCCACAACTACTGAGCCTGTGCTCTAGAGCCTGCGAGCCACAACTACTGAGCCCACGTGCCACAGCTACTGAAGCCCGTGCACGTAGAGCCTGTGCTCTGCAACAAGAGAAGCCACTGCAATGAGAAGCCCGCACACTGCAACGAAGAGTAGCCCCCACTCGCCAATCTAGAGAAAACCCGCACGCAGCAACGAAGACCCAACACAGCCAAAAATAATTAATTAAAAAAAAAAGAAGATACAAGAATTAAAAAAAAATGGGGCCAAAGAAAGTTGAAAGAAGGCTGTAAAGAGCAGAAATGAATGAACCAGAAAACAAACAGTAGAGAAGATCAACAAAGCCAGAGGTTGGTTCTTCACAAAGACTAATAAAATTGATAAATCCCTGAGGAATCCAATAGAGGGCCAAAAAGAAAGGTAGCCAGTGTTATGAATTAAAAAATGGATGTTACAACTGATTCTGCACATATTAACAAGCTAATAAAAGGATTTTATGAAATCTTTATGCAAATAAATTTGAAATTTTTGATGTAATAAATTCCTAGAAAAATACAACTTACCAAAAGCTAACACAAGAAGAAACAAGAAATGTGAATAGTTATAGAATGGTTAAAAAAATTGAATTTGTAATTAAACTATTAAAGATATGAAATTTGTAATGAAAATTCTTCTCACAAAGAAAAATCCAAAATCAGACAGCTTTATCAGCAAATTCTTCCAATCACTGAAGGCAGAAATAATTCTAATTTTTACACAAATTATTCCAGAGAATGATAAAAGAGGGACAATTCCTTAACCTGTTTTATAAAGCCAGCAATAAAGGAAAAGTATAGACTAAAATTATAAGAAAAGAAGGAAAAACATAATTAATAAACATAATTAATGTCAGAATGGTGGTTAAGTTTAGGCAGGAGGGAGGAAGTTGTAATTGGGAAAGGGCAGGTGGGTTTCTGGGGGCTGACAATGTTGTTTCTTGACCTCAGTGGTAGTTTCCACTCATTTGCTTTATAATAAATCATTAAGATACACATTTCTGTTTTTTACACTTTGCTGTATATGTATTATAATTCACACTAAAATTTTTATTGAAATTTATGGGACCAGTTTCACTTAATGAGAGAATGGCATAAATATTTGTTGACTCTCATCCTTAGATTTCAGTAATATTCTTGACTCTGTCTTTACTTACTCTAACAGACTTACAACTTGCATTTCTTCGAGATTATTTTTTAGAGGTTAATCCTTTAATGTTTACTAGTTTCCAAATTCCACTAACATATTATACTGGAATCAACAGTTACAATTACTCTTTTAAATAAAGGCATATTCTTGAATACTCTATACTCCCTAACTTGGGGCATTGTTTTTAAAATCCAAAATTTCATCTTGGGTTATAACACACGAAGATTAACCAATGATCTGTATGTCTGCAAGGTGTACAATATTAAGACAAATGAGATGAGTACAGTTCATCTGGGACTAAATAAACATCAACTCAGCAGTTTTTCTGGGAACTTTCACATCTGTTTCCTAACACTGATTATTTTAATCTATTTGTCTTCAGTCTTTGTCTACCCAGCCCTCATTCAAAAGCATCTGTCTAGATGTAAATAGCTTTTATAGTAACAGGATATTTGATTTAATGATCTGAAATATGAATGATCTTTTATTAGGACCAAGCCATTTTATTTCTTCTCTATAACTATAGTAAAAGGAACAGCTAAGTGAACATATTGTACATCAAATTTTATTTTGACAGCAATTATAAAGCCTATACTGAAATACTGCTCCTATCCACCTTTCTAAATTCTTTTTAACATCCCCTTTAGGGTAAACACTAAGCATCAAAATATAGCAGACTAAAACAATTCTGCCTCAAATTATGGAGACCCAAACTTTGGTCTATACACTGTTACCAATTTGATTAACTTAAATAAAAGTAGTATTTCTATCATAAAGTTTCTTACTTTTGGAACATGAGGATTAAATTCCACAGCTCTATGAATTGCTTCCACAGCATTAATTTCTGCTGTGCTTAACCCTCTTCTGGAGGCTGTTTCTGGAGAAAATCTGTAAGAAAACCACAAAATGAAGAAATAAATATTTAAATAAATAAGTATTTTAATCAATTAATTAACTGAGATCGTAATTTAGCACCCTAAATCAGAGGTTTCTGGTGATGGCTAAAGTCAAAGCCAAATGGCTACTAAACATAAAAGTAAAGCCTTTGGTTCAACATATAAAGGAAGGCAGCATAAGAAATGGAAATATTCAAGTTAACGTGAAGAAAACCTTCAGAAGTCCATTAAAGACACACTTTGGGCAAAGTAATAAAATAAGAAATGCCACACAGGGACATCTAGAGAATCTCATGAAATAGAAGTACATTCTTATCAAATTTTCACTGTTCACAGACTGTGAACAGTCCATTCTAATTCATATCAAGCCACAGTAATCTAAGGTGAAAGAAAGCAGTTGCCATTTGGTTGGTTTCTGAATAACTTACCTGTGCAATAAAGAGAAATTCATTAAGGACAGCCAAAAATACAAGGAAATCAGAATAACGCAGAATTATAATCTCAAAACAGGTAACATGAAACCTATTTCCCTACCACATATCTTACAATTACCATCATAGCTACTATGTACTGGATATACTTTCTATCTAGCATTGCTTTGGGCATTTAACACATATAATCCTCACACAACCACCCTACAGTATTATTATTCTCATTTTACAGATAATAAAGAAACTCACACTGATTAACTTGACCAAAGTTCCATAGCTGGTATGCTGTAGACTTTGAATTTGAATCCAAGTTCACTTAGCTCTAAAAACCTTGCTCTTTCCACTACACATAGTAAGAAGCTTCTAAGCCCCATAAGATCAAGGGTTATTCAGCAGGAAGTAGGGAAAAAAAAGCATTGTTTAAAGTCAGTGGATGAAAAACAATATTGAGTTTAGCAGTCTTTCTAAACTATTATAGTTTTCATAACTACTTACTTATCTGAAACAGTCCTTGTCTTCAATAGTGCTGCTGTATAACAGATGGCTGCTGACTTTGGAAGGCTTATATCTATAATAATAATTTTTAATTTGGGTAAGAATCACAAAAATATCTTAAGACAATTTCTAATAAGAATAATTCATAGTTCAAATTCAACGGATATAATATAGTAGTAAAAGCACATGGACATATAATTGGAAAACCTGAGTCTGAATCTTGATTCTACTATTTACCAGCTATGCATCCTTGAACTAGCACAACTTCTTTAACCTCAGTTTTCCCAAAATAGAGAAATGGTACTTTTCTAGCAGAGATTAAATTAAACCATGTCTGTGAAAGCCCTCATACAATGGTAAAAAGTACTCAACAAATGCTTATAAGAAGCTGCTTATAATAATACTATCCAAGGAAAAAGCCATTGTATAGATAGAACTATGTAAAAACTCCACCTATTCACAGAGAAAAACTAAGATTAAGAAAAAAAAAAATTAACAGGACTTCCCTGGTGGCCCAGTGGGTAAGACTCTGCACTCCCAATGTAGGGGGCCTGGGTTCAATCCCTGGTTGGGGAACTAGATCCCACAAGCTTGCCGCAACTAAGAGTGCACGTGCTGCAACTAAGAAGCCCGCATGCCACAACTAAAGATCCTGCGTGACACAATGCAGATCCCACATGCCGCGACTAAGACCCGGCACAGCCTAAATAAATAATAAATAAATGTTAAAAAAATTAATAGTAGTTAAGTCCAGGTGATATAATCATGGGTGGTTTTCATTTTTTTCTTCTTCTGATGTTTTTGCATTTTCTACATTTTCTTAAAAGATGATTTTTTATAAAATAAAAAGAAATTGAGAACTACAATAAAATTAATTATATGAGTTCTTTCTTAAAGAATGACCAAAATAATGTTATTGGCAGAGTAAGACTACAGAACTCTCTTTCCAGATTCCAGAGTTATACCAGCAAATGGAGAACTAAAGAAGTAAACTTGCTTTTAACTTTTTCAGGATTCTAGAAGGGTGAAAACGGGACTCATAAAAATAACTGAAAACACAGAAGCATATCCAAGTTGCTAGTTTTATTTTATTTTTAATGAATAGGTCCTATCTGATTTTTCATATTCAGTCCCTAAGCTTGTTCATCATAAGTATTATAAGCAGGCCATGCATCTGATAAGTAACATATGGAAAGAATTTCTCACAAATTTCTCCATGAGCCTATACTACTCTAAAGCACTTCCTAAGAATTCCAGATGTTTAAAAGAAATAAACTTCTCTTTCCAAGTGTAACAAATTTCAAACTTTCCAAGTCATGGAGATTCCCAAGCTAATGGGTAGGAGCTTACAACAGGAGAGTGTGAATAAGTGACTTAAATGTGTTCTAATACAGTGAAAGATATGACCAGAAATATTATGCTAGTTAGGATGTTTCCAGCTTGGGGTTAAAAGCTGATGCCTTACTCAGAATGAGGAGAAAGGCTATGCTTCTCAAAAATTCTCCCAAATCCATTTGTGGTAAACTGGAACTGTTATCGTATAATAATAAAAATAGCCAACATATATTGACTTCTTACTTACTGTTGGGAGACTAGTAAACAAACAAATGGAATACCTAAGTTTAAGTTCAAGCTTGCCACTTACTGGCTAGAAGACCTTACCCAAGCACTTAACCTTCTTCTACTCCAGTTTTCTTATTTACTAACCGGAAACAGTAAAAATATTGTACTTGTCCTACCACCTCACAAGATTGTTATAAGGATCAGATGAGATAATAAATTATACTTTGTAACTAAAAAGCATCGTAAAATGTTATTCTGAGTTACTCTTATATATACTCTAAGCAACTTCTGTTAGCCTTCCCTGCCACTCCAAAACAAATGAAGTGCATAGCACCCCATACTTTTCTATTACCTCACCTAACACGCTATGCCTCAATATAACTACTATTCATTTGTCTGTATGTTCCACTAAACGGTAAATTCTACGAGGGCTAAGTCCATGTCTTCTTATTCACCACTGTATTCCAAGCGCCTCACTCACATTAGGCGCTCAATAAAAAAATGAATACATCTTGAGAGAAGGAAAGTTCCTCCTTGCAGACTTTTGCTACCAAAAGTACTGATAAAGAGGATACTTAATAGCAACTTATATCCACAGATACTAGATACTGACTGGTAAGAATGCAAAGAGAAAATCACAGAAATACCAGAGTAGGATCACATTTATGATTACTTAATAGAAAAAAAAATACTTTAACCATGCTATTAACTAAGAGAATTATCACTCACCATCATATTTTGCTAGAACTGCTTGGACATCTGCATAGGCCTGTAATTCTAAAAGTGATTCTAGGAGATTTTCATGGATGTTCAACATGGTAAGAGGGGGAAATTCTTTCATCAACTGTATATTAAAAAGAAAAAAGATTAAAATTATACAAAAGGAACTCAGAGCTGAATCAAATTCACTGAGGTAGAAATTCTTTTGTTTCTTAAAACTGTGGAGACTCAACCTCTAAGAAATCTATGTATATTAAATAAATATCTTGTTATAAAACTATCAATTAAAAAAAACAGTGATTCTGGGGAATTTCTTGGCGGTCCAGTGGTTAGGATTCGGCATTTTCTCTGCTGGGGCCCGGGGTTCGATCCCTGGTCAAGGAACTAAGACCCCGCAAGCTGGGCAGCATGGCCAATCAATCAATCAATGTTAGAAAAAAAAAAAGGAAAACACATAGTGATTCTGCATTAACTTAACTGGCAACTTAAAACACATTCTGTTTTTGAAGGAATAAAGATAAAGGTTGAGTCATCAAATTTACTTACATCTCTCATTATTTTTACTGCTTCTCTTATTCTTCCTAATTTTCTTGCACACATTGCCAGTCTTCTTTTAATATACACCAGTACATTGGTATCTCTCCCTATTTAGAAAAACAACAAATGACACAAAACTATCACTTTTATATTATGACCTGCTACTTCATTAACATATTACCTGTTAATTTTATTTGCTTACCTTGGGAGGTTCAATTAAAATTAAATTGTGTCAGAATGGAAGAATATTAATAATAGTTGAATTTGGGTGATGGACAATGAACGAAGGTTCATTATACTGCTCTATTTTTATAGATGTTTGAAGTTTTTTATACTAAAATCTTAAAAAATATACAGAGAGAGAATTACTTTTGCCTCTAACATTAAGTAATCTGAGTACAGTATATATAAAGTAATTTGTGTATACTTGGCAAGTAGATTTTACTATTAAAAGACATACATTAATAGGAAGAAATAACATTATTAAGTTTCTGCATAAACAATCTACTATTTTAATATTCTCTATTACCTTAGCTGACAAACAAAAGATATTCAAAACAAAATTTCCATGCTAGCATAAATTTTTGGTCAACAGCAAGTAACTAACAAACTACTTCTAGAAAGGGCTAACAAATATTTCTGGAACTATCTCATAACTATATCTGAGATTATACAAGGACAAATGGCATGACTTTTTTACAGATGTAGTTTCATTAGTTCCAGACTGCAAAATTACATATTCCCACAGTTGTGTGTTATAACAACACGCATTAACGAAACATACTATATACATCAATATTTAGTTTAGAGAGAAAACATTATCCTAATTTTAATTTACACAAACAAAAGATTGAGAACTTAACTCCAGGAGATAATGCATTATATAAACATATTTCAATTTATTGCCCATTATCTGCCAAAATCATGAAACTAAAGCCCTCTGGCCACACAAAATAGCAGGAAGCAGCAGCATTACAGATTCTAACATCTTTGGTAAAAGTGTCTCGATCACAACTGGGAGAGTATGCCTGAGAGTGGAAAGAAAGGACCTCAGTTGCTATGGCCCATATGGTCTCAAACACATCATGGAGAAAAAACAACCGAAGAAATAGTCAATATCAAGTGTAAGGCTGGTTTTGTGCTGAAGGGCCACTCCCTGGCACTATATGGAGATATATACTGTCTGAAGAGCAAACCAAATGATATACCTCTACTATTGCTTGGGTAAGGGTGAGGATAAAGGTAATAGCTGCTTATCATCACTAGAAGGTTCTCTTGAATCTTGAATACTTTTGAGTTGTGTTTCTCCAATGACCAGCCCAATTCTCACATGAAATAAATTGTTAAGTTTCAGAGCAGCACATCTCTCAATAACCAGAACAGATTTGTTCCCTTCCACAAGCATTCTCTAGCTAATATACATTTCTGTCTTGCTGACTTGAATAGATTTGTTATCTCTTATGAAAAGTAGCTAACTTTTAAGTATTAAGTTTTTTAAATTGTTGTTGTTTTGTGTTTTACACATAAAACAGGCAGTTGCAGGAACTAAAAGGGGAAAATTAGTTCAAATTCACTTACTCAGTTGAGCTTCATGCTGAGGACTTTGGTGCTGGCACTGTTGTGACCGCCTGTAAATTGTTTCTCCTGCCTTGAGTGCCTGTTTAAATAACCTTTCAGCATCTACAATAGTTGTTGCTTCTTCCTCAGCCAGTAGAACATATGCAGTAGCACAGCTATAAAGAAAGCAAGCAAGGCAATTTTAAGTAAAATGGTAAGACAAGTATTTTCTTTGGGGTATGTCCCTTTACATCACATTTCCGTATCTTTCCCTACACTTTCTGTAATAGGGAAGAACATTTGTATTCTATTACAAATTAATCACTATATGGATGTTGCCTATAAGCTTAAATTATATATAATGACCCATCTCTCAGAACCCTGCCTCCCAGGTAATGAGCATTAAGCTAATATACTTCTGTTTAGCTCACAGGAAACATCTTGACCAGGCCCACCTGTGAATGACTGCAGGGAGGAAGAAATTAACACATCCCCTCTGGAGGCTGATGGGAATCAGAAAATGTTTGACTTTACTCCCTCCCCTTTTAGTATAAAAGAAGACTGAATTCCAACTCAGGCAAGATGGTTCTTTGGGGCATGAGCCCACCATCTTCTCAGTTTGCTGGCCTTCTGAATAAAGTCGTTATTCTTTGCCCAACGACTCATCTCTTGATTATTGGCCTGTTGTGTGGTGAGCAGTACGAGCTTAAACTTGGTAATAAATTTTGGTTTTTCAAAAACACTTTCTATTTTTTGTTTTTATTTTGTTCTGTTATTGCTGTTAAACGCCTCTTGTGAAGGGGTATGTCATTGTGTTTTTCATTTCCCTTATGATGAATGACACTGAGCATCTTTTCATGTATTTTTCGGTCATTTGTATGTCTTCCTTGAAGAAACAGACATTTCAAGTCCTTGGCCCATTTTTAATTGGTTGTCTTTCTGTCATTGAGTTGTAAGAGTTCTTTATATATTCTGGATAACTAGACCCTTATCAAATATGACGTGCAAATATTTTCTCTCATCCTGTGGGTTGCGTTTTCACTTTCTTGACAGTATCCTTTGATGCACAAAAGCTTTTAATTTTGATGAAGTCTATCTAATTTTCCTTTTTTGGTTGTACTTTTGGTGTCATATCTAAGAAACCACTGCCAAATTGACAGTCATGAAAATTTGCTCCTATGTTTTCTTCTAAGAGTTTTATAGTTTTAGCTCTTAAATTTAGGTCTTTAATTTTTAATTAATTGTGTATGGTGTGTGTTAAGGGTCTAACTTCATACTTTTGTATGTGGTTATCTAGCTGTTACCATTTGCTGAAAAGACTATTGTTTCCCACACTGAATGGTCTTGGCACCCTTGTCAAAAATCAATTGACCACAGATGTATGGGTTTTTTTCTGGACTCTAAATTTGATTCCATCTAGATTAGATGGCTATTCTTATTATTTAATTACTGTAGGTTCATAGTAAGTTTTGAAATCAGGAAGTGAGTCCTCCTACTTTGTTCTTTTTCAAGATTATTTTGGCTACTGGAGGTCTCCTGTAATTCCATATTTTAGGATCAGTTTGTCCATTTCTGCAAAACGGGCAATTGAAATTTTGATGGAGACTGCACAGAATTTGTAGATCAACTTGAGAAGTACTGATATCTTAACAATAATAAGTCTTCCAATCCATGAACACAAGATGTCTTTCCATTATTTAGGCCTTCTTTAACTTCTTTTGATAATACTTTGTAGTTTTCAGTGTACAAGTCTTGCACCTCCTTGGTTAAATTTATTCTTAAGTGTTTTAACATTTTTGACGCTATTGTAAATGGAACTGTTTTCTTAATTTCCTTTTCAGATTGTTCATTGCTACTATATAAAAAAAACAACTGATTTTAAGTTGATCTTGTCTCCTGCAACTTTGCTGAACTCTTTTATTAGCTCCAATAGTTTTTTGGTGGATTCTTTAAGGTTTTCTATATATAAGATCATGTCATCTGTGAAGAGAGATAGTTTTACTTCCTCTCCCATACGAAAGCCATTTTCCCCCCTTCTTGCCTAAGTGCATTGGCTAGCACCTCCAGTGCAATGTTAAATAGAGGTGGTGGGATTCCCTGGTAGTGCAGTGGTTAAGAATCCGCCTGCCAATGCAGGGGACATGGGTTCGAGCCCTGGTCCGGGAAGATCCCACATGCCGCAGAGCAACTAAGCCTGTGTGCCACAACTACTGAGCCTGTGCTCTAGAACCCGCAAGCCACAACTACTGAAGCCCGCATGCCTAGAGCCTGTGCTCTGCAACAAGAGAAGCCACTGCAATGAGAAGCCCACACACCAAAACGAAGAGTTGCCCCTGCTCACCATAACTAGAGAAAGCCCGCACACAGCAACAAAGACCCAATGCAGCCAAAAATAAATAATTAATTAAAAAAATAATAAATAGAAGTGGCAAGAGCAGACTTTCTTGCCTTATTCTTGATCTTAGCAAGCTTTGAGAGTTTCAGTCTAAAGTACATAGTTAGCTGTAGGTTTTTCATAGACGTCCTTTATCAGTTTGAGGAAGTTTTCTTACATTCTTTATTTGTTTTTATAATAAAATGGTGTTGGATTTTGTCAAATACTTTTTCAGCATCAACAGAGATGATTGTGTGGGTCTTGTCCTTTGTTCTGTTAATGTGATGTCTTACACTGACTGATTTTCACATGTTAAACCACCCTTGCCTTCCTGGGATAATCCCACTTGGTCATGGTGTATAATCCTTTTAATCTGTTGCTAGATTTGGTTTGCTAGTATTTCGTTGAGAATATCTGCATCTATATTCATAGTGAATATTAGTCTGTAGTTTTTGTTTCTTATGATGTCTTCCTTTGGTTTTGGTATGAGAGTAATACTGGCCTCACAGAATAAGTTAGGAAGAATTACTTCCTCTTCTATTACTTTGAAGAGTTTGAGAAGGACTGGTGTTAATTCTTTAAGAGTTTGGTAGAATTCAGTGGTGAAGCAACCTAGTCCTGAGCTTTCTTTGTTTGGAATTTTTAAAATTACTGATTTAATCTCTTCATTTGTTATAGGTCTATTCAGATTTTCCTTTTCTTCTTGAATCAGTTTTGGTAGTTTGTGCATTTCTGGGAGTTTGGCCATTTCATCCAAGTTAGCCAATTTGGCATACAATTGTTCATAGTATTCTATTATAGTATTTTTAATTTCTTTAAGGTCAGTAGTAATGTTCCCAGTTTCATTCTTGATTTTAAGTAAGCTGAGTTTCTCTCTTTTTTAATTGGTCAGTCTAGCTTAAAGTCTGTCAAGTTTGTTGATCTTTTTAAAAATACCCAACCTTTAGTTTCATTGATTCTATTGTTTTTCTATTCTCTGTTTTGTTTATATCACTCTAATCTTTATTACTCCCTCCCTTCTGCTTGGAGTTTAGTTGGCTCTTCATTTCTAGTTCCTTAAGGTATAAAGTTAAGTTTTTGATTTGAGATCTTTCTTCTTTATTAATGAAGGTATTTACAGCTATAAATTTTCCTCTGATCACTCACAGCTTTTGCTGTATTCCATAATTTTTTGGTATGTTATGTCTTCATTTTCACTCATTCCAAAGTATTTTTCTAATTTATCTTGTGATTTCTTCTTTGGCTCATTGGTTGTTTAAGAGTTGGTTGTTTGGGCTTCCCTGGTGGCGCAGTGGTTGAGAGTCCACCTGCCGATGCAGGGGACACGGGTTCATGCCCTGGTCCAGGAAGATCCCACATGCCGCGGAGTGGCTGGGCCCATGAGCCATGGCCGCTAAGCCTGCGCATCTGGAGCCTGTGCTCCACAACGGGAGAGGCCACAACAGTGAGAGGCCCACGTACCGCAAAAAAAAAAAAAAAAAGAGTTGGTTGTTTAATTTCCACATATTCCAATATTGTGAAATTCGAGATTTCCTTCTGTTATTGACTTCTAATTTCATTCCACTGTAGTGAGGGTGGATAGTTTGTATGATTTCAATCATTTTAAGTTTATTGACAATTGTTTATATCCTAATTATGATGTATCCTGGAGAATGTTCCATGTACACTTGGGATGTTGTTAGGTAGAGTGTTATATAGATGTGTTAGGTCCAGTTGCTTTATAGTGTTGTTCAAATCTTCTATTTCCTTGTGTATCTTTTGTCTAGTTATTCTATCCAATATTGAAAATAAGGTGTTGATGTCTCCAACTATTATTGTTGAATTCTTTATTTCTCCCTTCAAGTCTGTCAGTTTTTGCTTCATAAGTTGTTATTAGACATATATAAGTTTATAACTATTATATCTCCTTGATGAATTGAACCTCTTTTATCATTATATAATGCCATTCTTTGTCTTGTAAAAACTTTTTGTCTTAAAGTCTATTTTGTCTGATACCAGTTTAGCCACTCCAGCTCTCTTTGATTACTATTTGCATGGAATACTTTTTTACATACTTTTACTTTGTACTTCTTTGTGTCTTTGTATCTAAAGAATCTCTTGTAGACAGCATATAGTTGGACTACCTTTTTTTCCTATTTATTCTGCTAATCAATGCCTTTTAATTGAAGAGTTTAATCTATTTACCTGTTTAAGTACTTAGTGATAAGGAAGGAATTGTTTCTGCCATTTTCCTATTTGTTTTCTATATGTCCTTTTTTTTTTGCTCTCAATTCCTGCATTATTGTCTTCTTTTGCGTTAGATACATATCTTCTAGTATACCATTTTGATTCCCTTATTACTTATCACATTTTTTTTGTTATTTCTTAGTGGTTAACAGTTAACAATTACATTTAACATCTTAACTTATAACAATCTAGTATGAATTAATACTAATTTAGTTTCAATAGTATACAAAACTTTGCCCCTATATAGCTCTTCCCCCTACTGCTTATGTTGTTATGGTCACAAACTGCAACTTTATAAACTGTATGTCCATCAACATAGATTTATAGTGACTGTTTTACATAGCTGTCTTTTAAATCATATAGATAAAAAGAACTGCAAACGCCCCCAAAATTAATATTGACTTTTTAATTTGCCTATGTAGTTACTTTTACTGGCATTCTTTATTGTTTTGTGTGGAGTCAAGACTGTCTAGTATCCTTTTATTTCAGCCTGAAGGACTCCTTGCAGCATTTCTTGTAGGACAAGCCTACTAGCACTGAACTCTGTTTTTGTTTATCTGGGAATGTCTTAATTTCTCCATTTATTTTGAAGGACAGGGTTGCTGGGCATAGAATCCTAAGCTGACAGTTTTGTTTTGTTTTGTTTTTCTGAACTTTGACTATGTTACCCCACTGCCTTACATGGTTTCTGATGAGAAAGCAGCTCTTAATCTTTTTCAGGATCACTTATATGTGATGAGTTGCTTCTCTCTTGCTGCTTTCAGGCATCTCTCCTTATCTTTGGCTTTCAAAAGCTTGATTATAATGTGTCTCATTGTGGATGTCTTTTGAGTATGTCATACTTGGGGTACATTGAGCTTCCTGGATGTGTAGATCCATATCTTTCATCAAATTTGGGATCTTTTCAGCCATTATTTCTTTAAATGGTCTTTTTGCCCCTTTTGCTCTCTCCCCTCTCTTTCTGGGACTCCATTATGCACAGGTAAGTATGTTTAACAGCATCCCACAGGTTTCTTAGGCTCTGTTCACTTTCCTTCATTCTTTTATTTTTTACCTAAATCAAGTTTGCTGATTCCTTCTTCTGCCTGTTCATATCTGCTGCTGAACCTCTACAGGAAATTTTAAATTTCAGTTATACTTTTCAACTCTAGAATTTCTATTTAGTTCTTTTTTATTATTTCTACCTCTTTACTGACATTCTCTAATGGTGAGACATAATTTTCATGGTTTCCTTTAGTTCTTTATACATGGTTTCCTTTACCTCTTTGAGCATATTTTAAATAGTTGATTTAAAGTTTTTGTCTAGAAAGTCCAAAGTCTGGGCTTCCTCAAGGACAGTTTTTATTCATTTTCTTCTTTTCTCTGTGTAGGGCATATTTTGCTTCTTTGCATGTCTTATAATTTTTTTGTTGAAAACTGGAAATTTTAAATATTATAATCTAGCAACTCCAGAAATCAGATTTCCCCTCCTCTCCAGAGATTACTGTTGCTGCTTACAGTTGTGACTTTTCTGAACTGATTTTGTAAAGTTTGTATTCTGTCATGAGTGACCAGTGAAGTGTCTGCTCCTTTAGCTTAATGGTTAGTCAGTGATTTCACAGAGATTACCCTAAACACCTGAAACCAAAAACAAAACAAAAAGCAAGTCTTTGCAGATAGGTTCTGTGTGTGTATTGGGGCATACCTTCAACATTCCGTCAGGCAGTTTACAACTCTGCCTTAGCTTTCACTTTCTGTTTGTGCAGAACCTGAAAGTCAGACACACATGAGAGCTTAGGGTCTTCTCAAATCTTTTCTGAGCAGGTGCCCAACTTTGGGCATGTGTGGAGCCTCTGAGATTCCCAGGAATATGTGGAAGTTTTTAAAAGCGTTTATTTCCCAAAGTTTCTCATTCCCCAGCCTTTCCTCCCAAGCTTTCTAGTTTGTCTCTTGTTTGCCCTAGTTGTTATCCCTTGATCCTGGCAGCACTGGCTAATACATTTGCCTTTAAATATTTTCAACAATGCCCCCACAGTGTAGCTGTTTCAGTGCTGGGAGAGTTTCGAATTAACCAAAATATAGGCAAGCCCTTTGAGCTGGTTCTTCAGAGAGAAACCAGATGGGTCAAAGTAAACAACCATAATTCTTTGAGAAAAAGGTCCGTTCTGCTTCCTTTGATAGTATGAATTATACCCAGAAGGCAGACTGTTGTCTTCAAGGCTGCCACTGACCTAGGGAGTGGAGGATGGGGTCAGTGTTAAGTTAAAACACCACAAAGCTCTCTTACAGAAATTCAGCTATTTTTTTAAACTGATTAAGCATTCTCCAGGTTGCAATAAACTCTGATTAGCTTTCAGAGTTTCAATAAAATTCATTCACTGCTTGTTGAGTTCCCTACACTGCCAGTTTTGTTCCACCTTGGGTAAGTCTTATTAATAAGGATTAGTATATCTGTGGTAGGGGAGTAAGAAGGGGTACAGGGACAATGCTAAGTTCACATTATTCAGGAGGCATTCCTTGATTAATCCCAACTGGAGCCACATTTTTACTCTTGGCACTTATTTAATATTAGATTAATACTTATTGATCTGTCCCATTTAAATATTAAGTTCACTTATTTTTTTTTTTTAATTTATTTAATTAATTTATTATTTTTGGCGGCCTTTGGTCTTCGTTGCTGTACGCGGGCTTTCTCTAGTTGTGGTGAGCGGGGGCTACTCTTCATTGCGGTGCGTGGGCTTATCATTGCAGTGGCTTCTCTTGTTGAAGAGCACAGGCTCTAGTAGTTGTGGCACGCAGGCTTCAGTAGTTGTGGCTCGCGGGCTCTAAAGCACAGGCTCAGTAGTTGTCGTACACGGGCTTAGTTGCTCCACGGCATGTGGGATCTTCCCAGACCAGGGTTCAAACCTCTGTTCCCTGCACTGGCAGGCAGATTCTTAACCACTGAGCCTCCAGGGAAGCCCCTAAGTTCACTTATGATTCTACATTTTGTTTTTTCAAAATATAAAGTTGATAAAAGGAGCTATAAAAAAATAAAGCTGCTGTATGGCTTCCCTGGTGGCGCAGTGGTTGAGAGTCTGCCTGCCGATACAGGGGACACGGGTTCATGCCCCGGTCCGGGAAGATCCCACATGCCGCGGAGTGGCTAGGCCCGTGAGCCATGGCCGCTAAGCCTGCACATCCGGAGCCTGTGCTCCACAACGGGAGAGGCCACAATGGTGAGAGGCCCGCGTATCGCAAAAAATAAATAAATAAATAAAATAAAGCTGCTAACATTAAAAAAAATTGAATTAAAGCCATGTTTTACTTATTTCAAATTCCCTTCCCATGCCTCCAATCCTACTAGCAACTACAGTTCTCAGGACTGAATGAATGCTTTAAATAAATGACTTAAATGAAAAACAAAATTAAAACAGGTGGCTTAAGTATTTTAGTACTCTTTAATTATCAAGTATTATCACCAATCAGATCAGCATTCTCCTTTTTATAAAGTATTTCTAGCATAATTTCTATTCAAAAGCATAGATAAGTTTACAATTTCAGAAGCAAAATACAAATGTCAATGAACACTGCAAATTTTGTCTTTAGTATACAAAAAGAGAAAGGGGACTATTAATGACTCCAAGTATCTTAGGAACAGAAAAAAGGAAACAAAATCACTTGCCTGGGTTTCCTTCAAAACAAACTTATTTTCCATATATTTCAAACTTACTCATTGTTTAATTCTAAAGCTTGATAGGCTGCTTTGATTCGAGCTGGAGGATTTCTTTCCCTCCATGCCTTCTGCATAACTGTAGGAAAAACATTTCAAAAAGTAGATGATATGGTAAACATAAAGTATCTCATGCAAAACGTATGAAGAATGAGTTAGAAGAGTAAACAAAGATTTAAATAACATGTTCTTAAACATAAGAAATAAGAAATTGGGGTGATGGCTCACATTAACCTCATGAGAAATTTACATTAAATTTGGAAGCTTCACATAAAGTGGAAATTAAAATATTATTTCTCTGATTTATATGAATAATAACATAGATGGTACTTAATCAAGTTAATTACATCATTATACATGAACATTTATATATCTAAATGCATATTAAAATTGATATCAGATTATAATCTATGAAATATTCTAGTTCCTTTATCCTCTTGAAAAGGTTCTATGGAACTGTTAAAAATATACAAAAAAACTTAAAAAACACAGTATTTTTTTAATCAATGATTCAATCCATGAAGAATGTTTGAATTTGCATTTTGTATAAAAAGGGGGGTAAAAAGGAATTAACTTAGACTATTGTATATTTATGGAAAATGTCAGTCTCTACTAAGAGTCAAGAAAAGCCTGAATTAGGATATCTCTGGAATAACAATATTAGTTTTGCTGTCATTTACTGCACTAAAATTAAAATTTCACACTAAGCAAAGTTTCTTAAAAATTAAACAAACAGGGACTTCCCTGGTGGTCCAGTGGTTAAGAATCCACCTTCCAATGCAGTGGATGCAGGTTTGACCCCTGGTCAGGGAAATAAGATCCCACATGCCACAGGGCAACTAAGCCCCTGCGCCGCAACTACTGAGCCCACGCGTTCTGGAGCCCACACGCTACAACTAGAGAACCTGCACACTCTGGAACCTGAGCACCACAACTAGAGAGAAGCCTGTGTGCCGCAACAAAGATCCCATGTGCCGCAACTAAGACCCGACCTGACGCAGCCAAATAAATAAATAAATAAAAATTTTTAAAAAAACTAAACAAAGTAGATCCATGAAACTATCTGGCCTATTTCAAGTTTGATAAGAAAAACAGAGAATCTATGAATGTTGCTTTTGGAACAAAACCTACAACTGTCCAGAAAGAATAATGTGGAAAATGTTTGAGTTTTCCTTTGGAAACAAAATATTAGTCTTGGCTTAGAAAAGGAGACAATATATTCTACTTGGGTAACAAAAATACATTTCTCACATCAAACATGTCACCAGCTAGCTGACAGCTAATGCTTCCTGAACTTGACAAATTGATGCAAGTCAGCACCCATTTGATAATAACCAGGTAAAGAATAACATTTTGCTTAAACATTAAAATATTACATAAAAATCAAGTATAATATTTGACTTGCCATTTTTGATATAGAGGCTCTCTTCTATAAGTTACATGATATTTTCAGGTTAAATTTTGACACTGAATCTTTATTAACAGTTTAAATGGTTATTTGGTACTCTAGCATATTAAGTAATACAGTAATTTATTTAACCAGTTCTCTTTTGATGGATAATTAATTTTTTGCTAATATAGAAATATTGTGATAACCATCTTTCAACACCTATCTTTGCAAACCTGACCAAAGAATGGGTGGTTTTTATTTATTTATTTATCTATCTATCTATGTATTTATTTATTTATTTAGCGGGATGTGGGCCTCTCACTGTTGTGGCCTCTCCCGTTGCGGAGCACAGGCTCCAGACACGCAGGCTCAGAGGCCATGGCTCACGGGCCCAGCTGCTCCGTGGCATGTGGGATCCTCCTGGACCGGGGCACGAACCCGTGTCCCCTGCATCGGCAGGCGGACTCTCAACCACTGCACCACCAGGGAAGCCCTGTATGCATCTTTTAAAAGATTTTGGATATATATATCCAAACTCCTCTCAATGAGACTGTATTAATTTACATTTTTTCAGGCAGTGCAGGAGAGTGACTATTTCCTCACTCCCTTAACAACACTGAGTAGTATCAATCTTTGCTAATTTAAAACATGAAAACATCTCATTTGCATTGGCATTTCTTCTATTTCTAGTAAGGTCATCTAATCCACCATTAAGCATTTTTTCTTATTCTCATGTTTTCAAATGCTCTATCCAGCCTTATTATTCCTCACAACCAATGCATTTCTAAGCCAATGAGGAAAGGGGAAATAAAGTAGAGGAAGGAATATACTTCCTTCTAAAACAAGGTTTAGGAATAATTTAAAGCAATATGTTCATTTAGTATTCAACTGTCCTCTTTAAGAATACTCGATATGCTTAAAAAATAACACAAGCAGTTTAACAATTCAATCAAAAATTTATCTATTTTTCAAGTTAAACACTATTCTAATAGGCTAACCAGCAGAAGAGACTACCATTCAATCCAAGACCATGGGTCACAAATATAAATGCCTTGAGACCAGGCAGAAAACATAAATGAGTGAACTAAAAGCACATGCACTGTCTAAGAGAGTCACAGCTCAGGTCTAACTAATTACTGCCAAGTGGAAATGCAGGTCCATATTTCCCAACTTAAAATTGTAAATCTGGAGTTTAATGTTAAATCTCCTGATTTTTTTAAATGTTGAAAAAAAAAACCAAAAACATGAAAGCAAATTAACCAAAAAAACACTGCTGGCTGGCCCTGAGAATATGTTTGTTCACTGTCCTAAATAAACAAATCAATAGAATAACAACAAAAATCTACTAACTTAGGGCTTCCCTGGTGGTTCAGTGGTTAAGAATCCGCCTGCCAATGCAGGGGACAGGGGTTCGAGACCTGCTCTGGGAAGATCCCACATGCCGTGAGGCCTGTGCACCACAACTACTGAGCCTGTGCTCTAGAGCCTGCGAGCCACAACTACTGAAGCCCGAGCGCCTAGAACCTGTGCTCTGCAACAACAGAAGCCACCGCAATGAGAAGCCCACGCACCACAATGAAGAGTAGCCCCAGCTTTCCTCAACTAGAGAAAAACCTGCATGCAGCAATGAAGACCCAGCGCAGCCAAAAATAAAGAAAATAAAATAAATACATTTATTTAAAAAAATCTACTAATTTAGTAATTACTGATGACAAGAGTCAAGAGAAATTTGTCACATCACACGTATAGGCACGTTTGTCTTTTTTTAATATAAAACTATAGACATAAATCATTATCTTTATGTGAATATCTGAAAAGATCAATATGGAACCAACAGTCCATTTCTGGATTATCATTTGTGGATAAGGTTTAGTTCAGTCTTTAACTGGGATTATGCATACCTCTAGAAGTACTACATGAAACTTTGCAAGGACCAAAATGGGACACACCGTTTTAAGAGAATCAATTTCTAAAGCTTCAGCTATATATGACTCTTTCCTATAACTGATCTACCTGAAGAATGTTCACCTGATTGGTCTGTCATGCTGATTTTCCTTTCCTAGCCAACATATGCTCCCCGACTCAGTGCGTCCCCTAAAGATATATTACCTTTTCCTACTTTACAAAAGAAAAGCTTACTTTTCACCCATCCTGAATCTTTCCAAGGTAAGTTGCCCTAGAGTGTAAAGATCTCCATGTGCCTCAAGGGACAATTCAAAGTTTGGGTTTGGGAGGAACCATTTTTAATCAAGGAACCTATAATAGGGATTTGTGCCATTTACTTACTTAACAGTGAAGCTCAGCATTAGAAATAGAGTATTCTGGCCCCTGGAATTTCTGAATTCAAGTATATTGTAGAGTGGGGAGGGAGTGATAATTTTTATCAGTTCCATTTATCAGCACCCTTTCTCCCCTTACTATCAAAGCATGCATTGCTCCTAAGGGAAGGTATCCTCATAATAAGGCAAATAAAGCATTAGTAAGGGAGAATAAAGGCAGTGGAATCTTGTTTCGGCCAAGTGATAAGCTCACGGGCAAGGCTTTAAGACTTATCTATCTTTCTATCTTAGAATCTGAATTCAGAAGAGAGATGGTTGTCATAGGGATGCATGTTAACATGTTTATTTGAATTAAAAAATGAAGTCAGACTTCTCTGTCAGAAAGTAAGTCTGATTTAGTTGACAGGAAGGAAAATGAGAACTCACCCAGCCAATTAAGTTATATGGAGGACTCTTTCCAAAGTTGGAAGAGCCAAATATGTAGCTTGAAGGATTTGACAAAAATATAAAGTACATGATTCCATTTAGAACTTTATGATCAAAAGAAACTTAAATTTAAAAAAAATTATACAAAAACTTTATTGTGGAAAAGTATTTAAGTGTGATTAAAAAACTCTCAAATATAAAATAATTATATTATAATAAAATCATACAGAGGTGTGGAATGGATATGAGTTCAACAAGAAAAAGTACTTATATAAAATTTACTACTGTTAGAGTATTTGTTCATGTACTTTTCAATGGATCATGGTGGATATCAAGTCATTAGATTCCTTGAAATACATTCAAATATAGAGTATTTTAGTGTTATTTTTAAATGTCTATATTTATAATATGTTAAAAATTACATTCTTTGCAATTATTTAACCTTATGATGTCAAGTTAAAAATGTGTGAAGGGATACATAGTTTTTCAAAATTCTTTTAGGAGCTATGTGAACAAAAATGTTTTAAGACCACAGCTTTAGTGGATAGCCATGGTTGCTACTTGAAAAGCCTGCCAAGGTTTGCAATTCTGCCCATGAGAGGGAGGTGAAGCCTTAATATCCACAGTCACCTCAGTCCTCATAGTTAACGTACAATACTGATTTTCCACTGCTGTTATTTCCTTAACATTATACTTTTGCCATTAATGTAAACATTAAGCACATAAACATACAGCAATTCCTTTTTCTCTGATTTGCAATTAAACCATTTTATGTAACCATACCAAAGATCCTTGGGTTTCCTGCTACTACAGATGCTGAATATATTTAATACAGCAGAGATATAGCACAATGAACTCACTTCAATGTTGGAAAACTGGCTGTTTTTCAGACCGTAACTGTTGGTGATTTTCTTCTGCCTATCAATGTGATGAGTAGAAGCAGTAATAGTATAGTGGTTAAGAGCTAAACTTGAGCTTGAAACCCAGCTTTTTCATTTATTAGCCAGGTGATTTAGGAAATGTTACTTGTCTCCCCTTTGCCTCAGTTCCTTTACATTTAAAATGTGGCTGATAATAGTACCTATCTCATGAAGTGATTGGGAAGATTAAATTAGTATCTTTTATAAATTGCTTAGAACAGTGCTTGGCGCATAATAAGTGTTATACAAGTGTTAGCTATTATTACTGAAATTGCTTAAGACATCTGTGACACCAAGGCTATTCATTCATTCATACTTCCATCAAAGAATAAATATTAATATTTACAGTATATCAGGCAGTGTTCTAGATGATAAGGATTCAAAGATGACAAGTATAGTCCCTAATTTCCACAGTTTCACACATTATTAGGGAGGACAAACATTAAAACAACATGATAAACCAACAAATAAGTGTTTACAGTTGAATAAATTAACTAAAATTATTATAAAAGTGAGGTTTTGACTAAGTACTGTAGAATTGCAGAGATCAGGGAAGCCTGCCCAGAGAATGAGACTTTTAATTTTGAAGGATAAAAGTAGAAGCATAGATAAGGTAGGAGAAGGCAGTCGAAATAGTTGTGATAAAGATCCCTGTCTTTAAGCCAAACATTTAAGAGTTTCTATACTCACTTCTACAGAGAAGATTAGAGAGAACTAAACACAGACATTTCTATGATCTTCCACCACTTTATATGCATCTCTGACTTATGACTGGAATAAAATATACCCCATTTTTCTCTACATGCTGTGCCCATGTTTAACTTTGCCTTATTTTTTTTTTTTAATGTGTAATTATAGGTGTTAACTTCCCCAACCAAAACTGGGTACACTGTTCTCTGTATAAGCAATTGCTGTATTCGATCTGAAAGGTTTTCTAAGTAATAAAAGAAGCAATTTAATTAATTTTTGTAAAATACTTTAAATTCTATAAAGAATTTAAATTTCATCTTATAAAAGACAAAAAAGTACGATAACCTAGTTTACAATCATAATTAGTTTCAATTTAATCTGGGTTTCTTATCAATGATGCAAACTCCAAGCCAAATAACTTTGTATAATAAATAACTCTAAAAAACTTTAAAAATAATTTTTATGACTACTGTTTACCCCAAGAACAGATTATGACACATACCTGTGTCTGAAGGACGTAAAAAGTCCGTGTCACAGGTGAAAAAGGTCTGATGGTCCTGAGCTGACAAATTCATGTCATAGTATGTAAGTGGCTCTTTACCAGTCACCCAAGTGTATCTTTACCAAAACACAATAAAATATGTAAATTGAACATGAGAGAGCATCTGTCTGCTACAACAGATACTTTTTAAAATTCAAAAATATACTGCTACAAATCTTATTTCAGGATGTTTCAAAAGCTTATTATAATCAATAAAGCAAAAGAGATAACCTATCCAAACTACTTAGAGTACAATAATAAAACATCAAAAACCAAAACGGAAAAGGTAGATTATTCAACAAACAGTGCTTCAAAATTGAATTTGAAGATAAAACAATTTGACTTAAATATATACTTTTTTAAGTATACTTAAATAAATTCTCAGTGAATTAGAATTAAGTATTAAAAGTAAAACTACAAAGAAACTAGAAAAAAACACAAGTGATTTTTTACTAGATGTCAAGATGATAAAGGGTTTTCAAAGCATAAAAGCAAAAAAAAAACTTCTTTCAGATTTTACTAAATTAGAAATTTTACCTTTCATTTCCCCCTAAAACCCTCAATAATTAATAGCAGGTAACAAACTGTCTAATAAATACATTTTAAAATATCCAATCTCATTGGTAATTAACAAATAGCAAATTAAAATAACTAATTTTGACTATTCAACTATAAAATTGGCAAATATATATTGTCAGGGGTGAGATGGGACTCACACATATTGCTGTTACAAATATAAATTGGTATTTACATTTCTTTTTCCAGAAATCAATTAGATAGTATCTATCAAGAGCCTTAAAAATAACACCTAGTTAGATGATGGGTATATGGAATTCCATTATACCACTCTCTCTACTTTTGTTTATTTTTGAAATTTTCCACCATTAAAAGAAAAACTTAAAGGGGGGAAAAAAAACTGTTCACACCTTTTGATTCAGTCATTCCAGTGCTACAAATCAACCCTAAGGAAATAATCATATATGTGGCTAAAGATTTATATATAAAGCTATCCCTCTAGAGTAAATGTTAACAGTGAAATATAACCTGTGACCTGGATAGGGGAGCAGTAGGTAAGTTATGTATGGTACCTCCATATAATAGAATACAGTACAACTATTAAAAATCATGTTTTTGAAGAAATTCATGTTTTGAAGAAATTCTGTGGTAAATTCACACATAATGAATTTTATATATTATGATGTTCAAGTTTTGTTTCTATATATGCGTATAGAAGAGAGACTGGATGGAAATACTAATAGCAGTTATCACTTAGTGGTAGAAAAAGGTGATTTTTTACTTTCTTTCTCATACATCTTTTTATTTTCCAACTTTCAACAATGAATATGTGTATATTTTATAATCAGAAAAAGCATTTTAAAAGCACATTGTGGGCTTCCCTGGTGGTGCAGTGGTTGAGAGTCCGCCTGCCGATGCAGGGGACACGGGTTCGTGTCCCGGTCCGGGAAGATCCCACATGCCGCGGAGCGGCTGGGCCCGTGAGCCATGGCCGCTGAGCCTGCACGTCCGGAGCCTGTGCTCCGCAATGGGAGAGCCACAACAGTGAGAGGCCCGCGTACCGCAAAAAAAATAAAAATAAAAATAAAAGCACATTGTGTTATTTATATACATGATCAAAGATTTTAAGTTATTTAATTGTATAAGTTGCCTTTAAAGTTTCTATTTAAAGTTTTTAGCTATTTTAGGAGAAATTATCATGAAGAAAAAGGAAAAAGCAAATCCTTGTTCATTTAGCAAAGTTTGGTATACTTTCTAAAATCATAAAAAAAATGAACGATCTACATTAATCCCAAAATGATTTAAAGCAGCTAAAAAACACATGCACAGTATCAATAACTTAAATTAGCAGTAAATTTTAAAAGACTCAGTAAAGTAAAACAAGGATTGAGCCATAAAATGGCTCATACCAAAGAGTTCTATACACTTGCTAAAGGTTGGCTACGATATGATTCCAAGCTTCCTAGAACCACAATGATTACCAGTGCAATTTAGACTTTTACATTAAGACAAACTAATCATTCAAAAAGAAGCATTAAGAGTTCGTTATACTAAGATAAGAAATTTCTCTTTAAGATTTTCATGAAGTAGATACTATAAGATAACAAGAATAGCCTAAAAACTTTTTAATAAACACAGTGAGAAGTTCAAGGACCTGTTTCTTGCAGAATCCCTTAATATAAGCTAATGGCATCTATCATAAAAGCCTAGCTTTGGCTTCCCAGGATGTGACTGTCCTACACTATCAAGTACTTACACACAGGGATTACTGCTAAATTATTTTGTATCCCCATCATTTTGCATAGTGCCAATACATAGTAGACATAAACTGTTTCTTGTTCAATGAATTAAATAACATGCCCCAGTCTACCTCCAGGTAAAACACAGCCCTTTCCAAAACAAAAGTAAAGTATCTTTGGTCATAAGTTTTTCAAAAGTCGTTTTCTCATTTAGAATAAAAACCAGAAGAGAAATGGACACAATAGTGTAGCTAGGGAATGGCAATACGAAATACAGTATAAAAGTATTATGCTCTGTACTGTTGCACAAATGAAATTTATATTCACATTCAGATTGATATTTTCTAGTGAATCGTCAAATAAAGTTTGCAATTGAGCACATGTGCACAGGAATATGCTGACATTTGCAATTTTTTCTCTATCTCATGAATTCTTTGAAAAGGCTTTCTGCCATAAACCAAGAGCCAAATGTATACTTACATCACAAACATATGGTTTGAAGCAATGTTTCTCATGATTATAAAAGTAAATATAGTCAAGATGCTGCCAATTAAACCTTGGGCTAATCATTTTACCTTATATCAGTATCTCCAACCAGAAGAGCTGTGATATATTTGTAAAAATAAATTTTTCCATAATACTTTTATTCTAAAACCAATGCCATAATTATACTGAAAGCAAAATGTAATACCTCCTATATTCTGCTCCTCTGAAAAGATTTAGAGGATTTCTCCATACCTTGCATTCTAAAAAACAAAGAGAAAAAGGGGGCAAATAAGACAGTTTAATCAAATGTAGTTAAATCTTAATTTGGTCAACATGTATAGTCACTGTATGCTAAGTACAGTGCTAGCCACATATAGCACAAAGATGAATAAGGCATGGACCACCCTGCTGTCATGCAGTGTACAACCAAATCTAGTCATTACCTTATTTCTGTCTCCATAGCATTTGGTTCACAATTCAAGTACCACACTTACCATATTACAATGTGACTATCTAGTTTTCAGTTTCTCCTTTAAAATATAAGCTTTTAAAACTTTGCTCAGGGGCTTCCCTGGTGGTGCAGTGGTTGAGAGTCTGCATGCCGATGCAGGGGACATGGGTTCGTGCCCCAGTCTGGGAAGATCCCACATGCCGCGGAGCGGCTGGGCCCGTGAGCCATGGCCACTGAGCCTGCGCGTCCGGAACCTGTGCTCAAAAAAAACTTTGCTCATTTTGTACTTCTGGAACCACAGCATTTGGAACTAACTTAACTGAATTAAGTGTAGCATGAGAATTAGTTATGTAAACTATCACCTACACTGTGTGATAAGTGCTATGATAGAGATATATTTTGTTCCAAGAGAAAAAAAGGAAGTGATTAAGTTTGCTCTGGAGAAATTAGGGGAGACTTTAGAAAGGTTGTGACATTTAAACTTGAACCACTGTAAAAATAAGTAGAAGGTTGCCAGATGAAGAACATTCTAAGCAGAGAAGTATGAGAAAACCACACAGCATACTTAGGTTAGAGTACATGGTAGAAGGTGAGAGGGAGAGCTGTAAATGAGGCTAGAAAATAGACTGGGGGAAATTGATGAAGGGGCTTACATACCATGTAAAGAGTTTAGACATTATCCTTAGTCAATCAGAAGCCATCAAAGGTTTATAAACAGAAAAATAACAAATATCAAGACTTTGGTTAGATCAGCAGTTCTCAAAGTATCATTCATGGAACTGCAAAGTAACAACTCGTTTCATAATAAATGCTAAGACATTGTTTGCCTTTTTAACTTGTTGATTTGAACCCAACCCTGAGAGTAAGGGCGTCCTTAAATTTTGTGCCCCAAGCACCTGACTTAACCTCACACTAGTCCCAGTCCTGCAAAGTTGGGCTAATGGTACAACTCAAAGGTTGGTAAAACTGCTGGTACTTTAAAGTAGTGGTCATTGGATTCCTCACCCCCACCCCAGTAAACAAGGCAACCAAATATGATGGTTGTCTCCAGTATAAGCAATTGTTTCTTGAGCTGGACTGACCTTTTTTTTTTTTTTCATGGAATCTCACTTTTACTTGAAAGAGTCACTAACAGACAAATTTATGATTATTCAGACAGATACCTGGCAAATATTTTCTCAAAGTTGAACAAAGTGAATCTGTCAAATTCAAGGAAGAAAAAGTAGTATTTGCTGCCAATGATAAAACTTGAGCTTTCAAGTACATACTAGAATTTTGAAAAACTTGTATCAGTTACCATGAGCTTGACAATTTCTCAACTTAAAGGCTTTCCTGTGAGATTAGTGGTGATATTAACAAACGTCATTTTAAAAAATTATACAATATTTCAATATTTGGAAGACACGTATAACTCAGGGAACGAGTATTTTCCAAATGGCCAATGCATGATTTATAAAATTATTCATAAGTGAAAGACCCATTCAAAATGGGACACCAAGGGATTTTAATGTACAGAACATGGCAAGTTAACTGATATAGCTTCAGATTCCACATTGCAACTAAACTTTAAGAAAGTACCTCAGTAAATTTTGGTGTTGTATTGAAAATGAATATCCACAACCTTCTGAAAGGTTATTAAAATACTTTTCCCTTTTCCAACTACATATCTGTGTGAGAACAGATTTTCTTCATAGATGTCAAGCAAAACAACATTTCACAACAATGCAGAAGCAGATATGAGAATAAGCAATTTTTTATTAAGCTAGATATTAAAGAGATTTAAATAAATGTAAAGAAATGGCAGTCTTCTGATTAAAATTTTCTCATTTTGGAAAATATAATTATTTTTCATGATACGTGTATTAGTTCAGGCTGCCATAACTAAATACCATAGATTGGGTGACTTAAACAACAGAAATTTATTTTCTCACAGTTCTGAAGTCTGGAAGTCTGAAATCAGGGTGCCAACATGGTTAGGTTCTGGTAAGAGCTCTCTTCCTGGCTTACAGATGGCTGCCTTCTTCCTGTGTCCTTACATGTCTCCTCCCATAGTGGAGAGAGAAATTAATCTCTCTTCTTCTCCTAAGGCTACCAATCCTATCACATTAGAACCCCACCCTTACAACCTCATTTAACCTTAATTGTCTCCTAAAAGTCCTGCCTCCAAATATAGTTACATTAGAGGTTACAGCTTCAACATATGAATTTGAGGTGGGGGAGAGACACAGTTCAGTTCATAGAACTATGTTAACATGCAATGGGTTTCCTGTTATTTTAAAAATAACTAATAAATAAATATTTTTTTAATTTCTGTTTTAATTTCTAATATGGTAAATATTGGGGACATAATCAATATATAAACAAAAGCTCTTGAGGTCCTCAATAATTTTTAGGAGTATAAACGATTCCGGAATCTAAAAAATTTGAGAAACACTTTTTTACATAGTAAGGGGAGAGAATGTACTAAAAGGAGAAGTATCATAGGCAGGGAAACCAGTTAGGGTATACAGCAATAGTCCAGGAAAGAGATATCTAAGGCCTACATATGGGACACTGAATGTTGAAAAAGAAGGTAAAATAGAGTCAAGGTAATTTTTGAGGGGAATCAATAGCATACGATGAGGGTCAATAGTCTGGAGAAGGAAGGGGAAATAAAAGAGATATAATCTAAAACAACTCAAAGGTTTCTATTTTGGAAATTAATAGATTTTAGGATTATGGAAGGTACCTATTAAAAGAAGATAATTAGCAGTTTCACTTTGGACAGAATGAGTTTAGGGTTGCTTAGGGCCATCAAAGGTGGAGATTTCTAGCAAAGAGTTAGAAATGTGGGTCTAGAACATAAAAGAGAGCTTGGGGACAGAAAGTTAACATTGGTTCTCCCAATACATATGTCTGTGGATGATAATACTATAGAAGGAGATGCAGCTACCCAGGGAGAGAAAGTGGAACCAAAGGAGAACTGTGACTCACTTCTGAGGTCAATTCATGCATCTCTACTGTGAAACATTTTGTGGCCTTCCTTCCAAGAATAACTGACCATTCCCTCTTTTCATCACCATAGTATCTTCCATACACTATATAAAAGTATCTTTTGTATCTTTTGCCATCACTTATTTATATGTCTGTATCCTATACTAAGCTGGAATGTTCTTAACGTTATCTTCACTTTCATTATGCAATGGTATACTCAATCTCACAATAGGGAATAAGACTGTATAATGCATTATCGTTATAATTATTTACATCCTGGACTCTGAGCTTCTTGGGGACACATCTATGTCATATTCACCTTTTTTTTTAAGATTTATTATTTGTTTATTGATTTATTTAATTTTTGGCTGCATGGGGTCTTAGTTGCAGCACGCAGGATCTTCGTTGTGGTGTGCGGGCTTCTCTCTAGTTGCAGCATGCGCGTTTTCTCTTTAGTTGTGGTGCACAGGCTCCAGGGCACATGGGCTCTGTAGTTGTGGCATGCGGGTTCCAGAGCGTGTGAGCTCTGTAGTTTGCAGCATGCAGGTTCTAGTTGAGGCGCGCAAGCTCAGTAGTTGTGGCACGCAGTCTTAGTTGCCCCGTAGCATGTAGGATCTTAGTTCCCTGACCAGGGATCGAACCCGTGTCCCCTGCACTGTATGGTGGATTCTTTACCACTGGACCTCTAGGGAAGTCCCTCATATTCATCTTAATATGCCTCATTCTTAAGAGTTCTGTAATTATTTCATGAAAGGGGAGAAAGGAGTAGGGCAGAGAAAATTACCATTATTCCTTCCCGTACTCCTGAATGGCTGCCAACCTCATCCCTACTAATCCTGGTCAACACCCACTCAAGCTTTTTTTTTTTATTTATTTACTTATTTATGGCTGCATTGGGTCTTCGTTGCTTCATGTGGGCTTTCTCTAGTTGTGGTGAGTGGAGGCTACTCTTCGTTGCGGTGTATGGGCTTCACATTGTGGTGGCTTCTCTAGCTGCGGAGCATGGGCTCTAGGTGCGCAGGCTTCAGTAGTTGTGGTGCGAGGGCTCAGTAGTTGTGGCTTCCAGGCTCTAGAGCACAGGCTCAGTAGTTGTGGTTCACAGGCTTTGTTGCTCCACGGCATGTGGGATCTTCCCGGACCAGGGCTCAAACCCGCGTCCCCTGCATTGGCAGGCAGATTCTTAACCACTACGCCACCGGGGAAGTCCCCCACTCAAGCTTTAGGGCTCAGTTTAAAGAGTTCTTTCTTACAGACTTTCCCTGATCACACCTAAAAAGTGCCAGCAACTGCACTCAGGTAGTATTTTTCTACTAAATTAATATAACCCTAGTGGTTAGGCTTACTGAACAAATGAGACATTATGACATTCTGCAGAATTAACTCATTTGTATGAGTTAACTGTATGATTATAACCTATACCAAATGAAAGAAACAATAATCCAAAAATGTGATTTCTATCTGGCTTCAAATATTTTACTTTCCTAATTGCATAATTACTAGATACATATAGAGGAATAGTCTACAGTTTATGTATGACAACAGATTATCCATACAAGAATAACAGATTTTGATGTCTTTGTAAATATACTGAGAAGAAAAGCTATTTTTCCTAACTTTGCTCTCTTGGCAGAGATGGCTAATTGTCTTTGTTCTCTCCTTTATCAGTAATAAGATCCCCTTATCACCTGTGCATATATACACTGAGAAAATGATTACAATTTCTAGCCTCCCTTACAGCTAGTTCTGTTTATATGACAAAGATCTGACCAGTAGAAAGTAAGTTGAAATAGTATATGACGCTGCTCGGAAGTGTCCTTGGTTGCTGTGGGGTGGGGGGTGGGGAAAGCGTCTTCTCCTGGCTTATTCTCCTTCCTGATGACTAGACTGTGGACATGATGGCTGAAGCCAGAGGAACTGTCTGGAACCACAAGGAAAAACTGCATTGGAGATGGTCGCAAACAAAATAGAAGGAGTCTAGGTCTCTGATAATCATTGCTCTCCATATCAGCCATGGATTACCTATATTTAAAGGAAAGACAAACTGCTCTCTACTGTTATGAGTTTTCTATCTGCCACAGCCAAACACAATCTTAACAATACAGCTTTGAACACACATTAAGTCAGTAGTAGTCACCTGACAAATTCTGTCTGCTGGTTTCACTTTCTCTGCTGCTGGAAGGAGAACCTGGCTCTGAAATGCTGCCTTCTGTTCCTCCCATCAGTGGTCGCAAATGGCTTACAGATACTTGCTCAATAAAAGATGTGCCATGCTTATGGAAGTACCACCATTCAAATATCTGTGACAAACAGAAAACATCTTTCACTTAAAATAGAATTAATCAGCAGATATATGACCTCAAATCAAAACATTCTCTCAAGATGTTCCTGTTTAATTCAGCATTTGAAATGTGCCCTCCTTCCAAAAAATAAGCCAAACACAAGATTCCCTGATAACACATGCCAAGCCAAGGTAAAATGCCTTTTTACAACTTTGTAATGAAATTCAGACAAGCTTAGGCAACACTAGAATACGTCTGTAAATAAAGCATTAAAAAAACAGTAAGAAGTGTTTAAGCTATAAATAATGTAACTTACATTATAATGTCATTTTAGTCTATCTGTAGCACAATTAAAAGAAAAACAATTTTGAAACAACTAGCATGGTGGATTAACCACTAGACTAGGGTTAGAATGCCTACATTTGACTCCCAATTCAGCCATATATTAGCTGTGTGTTTTGGGGAAGTTAACTTCTAACCTCTCAGAGCCTCAATGTCCTATCTAGTAAATATGGTTAACAAGAATTGTAAGTGCTTTTAAACAACAAAGTACTACTCCAGTATTTGGCAGTATTATTAATGTAGGTTAAGAGTCAAGTTGATTCCCATATTGAACCATTTAAAAATCAGGATATTCCTTTCTTTCTGTTTCCATGGTTTATCATTGTTATAAGAAGAGGAATCAAAAGCAGCTCTCTGTGTTGAATGAGCAGAATGTTTCATATTCGGATACTCCAGCCTTTTCAACTCCCTTTGCTGGCTCCTTTGGGTCTGAGCTTAAATGACATGTCCTAGGGAACTTTTCCTGATTCCACAGAACAGAAAGCTATGTTATACACTCCCATTGGCTCTTTTATTCTCCTTTCAGAGTAATCTTTTTACTCGTAATAATTAGTTAAACAACTGGCTTTGTTGCTATTCTTCAGCTTCCAAGCACATTACCTCTTCAGGTAGAAATAACACAAGCAGCACAACTAGCTTTCTCATTTCAGGTGGTAAAAGAAATTATAAATAAACTTTGCTAATAAAAACTCATCAATATTTCAAGGGTAATGACACAGTTTAACCTTTAAAATGTTACTTGAATTCTTAAGTTTTGTAAATTTAAAATGTTGGTTTAAAAAAAGTAACAACAAATTTTAAACACTTTTACATATTACATATGTAAGTTATATATTATATAAATGTAAGTTTTCTCCCCTCCTTATAAATGAGGAAATTAGGACTCAGAATTCATGTGACTTGCCCAAAGTTATCAGATAGTAAATGGCAGAGTCAAGACTCAAAACTACATCTGCTGGTTCCAAGACCAATGCTCTTTCTACTACCTCAGCTGTTTAAAGATAGTTTATCTTCTTTATTTAGATTTTTATATGCTATGACAAAATATGCTAAATTATGAGTAGGCTTTATAAATCAATAAATTTTGAGGCTTTTAATAACAGAGTTTTCACCCAGAATTCCTCAATAATTTTTTTTAAGTCAAGAGAAAAATTGCTTTCTCATCTGGTATTTCACTTCAACAAAATGGTCAAGTGTTCGTCCCTATTTAAAAAAACAAAACAAAACAAAAAACCACTCCAATATAAATGCTATTATTTTTACATTTCTACTATAGTTATAGAGCACCACCTAGAGATGAGAAAAAAATACAGAAAAATTTCATTGGCCATGCATGCCATAATACTTCCTAAGATTTTTATCTGTAGCAGTATTTTTCCAAAGTTTATACTATGAAACACCAGTTCCCAGGGATGTTAATAAAGATTATAAAAATTTAAAAAATATTTTTAAAATACAAATGATAGCTTGGTTAAATAAAGCAAGGGAAAGCTGAATTAAACAGGTTTCTTTATTGTGGCACTTCTTAGAATAACGTGGCCAAAATTCATTAGTGTATGTCACGTTGCTGCAAGCTTTCACACACACTATCTCATTTAATCCTCATAACTATTAAGTTGATTTTTTTTTTTTTTTTTTTTTTTTGGCTACACCGGGTGGCTCATGGGATCTTAATTCCCTGACCAGGGATACAACCCGGGCCTCGGCAGTGAAAGTGTGGAGTCCTTTGGGGCTTCCCTGGTGGCTCGGTGGTTGAGAATCCTCCTGCCAACGCAGGAGACACAGGTTCAAGCCCTGGTCCGGGAAGATCCCACACGCTGAGAAGCAATTGAGCCCGTGCGCCACAACTACTTAGCCTGCACTCTAGAACCTACGAGCCACAGCCACAAGCCCGTGTGCTGCCCTAGAGCCTGTGCTCCACAACAAGAGAAACCACTGAAATGAGAAGCCTGTGCACCGCAATGAAGAGTAGCCCCCACTTACCACAACTAGAGAAAACCTGCACGCAGTAACGAAGACTCAATGCAGCCAAAAATTAACTAATTTTTTTTTTTTTTCTTGCGGTACGCGGGCCTCCCCCCGCTGCGGCCTCTCCCGCTTCAGAGCACAGGCTCCAGACACGCAGGCCCAGCAGCCACGGCCCACGGGCCCAGCCGCTCCGTGGCATGCGGGATCCTCCCGGACCGGGGCACGAACCCGCGTCCCCTGCATCGGCAGGCGGACTCTCAACCACTGCGCCAGCAGGGAAGCCCTAATTAATTAATTTTTTAAAAAATTAATTGAGTTGAGTCCCAAACCACTAGACCACCAAGGAATTTCCAAGTTGATACTATTATTATCTCCAGTGTACAGATGAGGAAATTGGAGCTTTAGAAAACTTAATTCACTTTCTTGAAGTCATACAACTAAAGTGATGGTTAGCCTGTCTCACAAACTCTGCTCTTAAACACTCTAGAGAAGGTAACTGGCAGCCTATAAGCCTAATTCAAGACAGATAAATTTTTAGTCTGCCCGATGTTGCCGACATTAAAGTATTGGAAGATTTTATATAAAAACTTTATATCCAGGTTCTCCTGAAATCGTCTGAAAAAATTGGAAGACCTGGTCCTGGTAATACTGTCTGCAAGTCTACATGGCAACAATTAGCTTTAGCCTTTTCTAGAAGGAGCATGTACTGTCCAGATTACCCAGTCTTCAAAGTAAATAAAAATTTCAATTTTTACACTCTGCCAATTTTACTCATTTTTGTTACTAAGCCGAGCCTGCAAGCATTTACATCACAACCCACCTCCCACTACACCCAACATACAATAAACAGTCTTTTATACACAAATGAATACTATCAATCTCTAAAAGTGGAGAGGAAGTTGCAGTGTTTTTTAAAATATTTTTTCACATTTTGAGAATGTGGAAAATTTTGAGAATGCTGATCTATAAGTATTTTTAATTATTATAATAACTATTTAAAGAGATTTGATTTTTAGATAAACACCAAAGGAAATGGAAGGAAGGAAATGGAAACTACTTACAAATATTAGTCCTGATATCAAAGAAGATGTCCCTGTAAGTGCCACATAGAATTTGGGCGTCAATGAATTTAAAAATACTGTCACTGTCAAAAAGAATAAAAAAATCAAAGTTAAAAAAAATAAGTACCCAAGTTACAAATATGCAGGTGTCTTTATGAGTGGAGGGACACAAGTAGTATTAATATCTAATATGAGATTCATTTGAGAAAACTGTAATTTTTAAAAAGCTACTTTAAATTTTCATTGTATCACATCTTTAAAATGCCTTCACATATGTAAGGGTAGGATTTTACACTGCTGATTTGTTAAATAAGCAAATCAAAATGAGATCATTTAGCTTGCTGTTGAGAATAAAACCAGGAATATCATAATTTAGACAAGAACTTTTGCAATTCCATAAGGATAATATGAACAAATATACTGTTACAAAGGAGGATTAAAACTACTTCCTAATTATTTTGGTGAGATACAAACCGTGTTTCAAATTAGAGGGAAGGAAACAGTGTGTGTATTTGGTATGTCAGCTACAGAGGCAAAATAACCCAAAAAGAATAGCAAACTAAGAGCTTCCTAAACCTGATTCACTGAAAACCTGGACCACATTCTTCACTTCAAATAATTGTCTCATAAATACTTTGGGTTTTAGAAAGAAACAAAAATCTGTAAAGTCACTGACTCTCATCTAAATGGTGTATCTAGTTAATATGTAAAAAAAAAAATGATAAACTCAATGAATAACATTTCACTGAGCATACAAACCATTAGTAGTCACTTCATTAACCTGTAACAGAAACACCAAATTAGCTTTTCAAACAGTCTAGGAAGGCCAATTTATCTAGCGTATTTTAGTGTGTTAGTTGCATCTGAATTTACATACTATGTTCTTAAAAAGTCCAAAACATTTCAGAACATTATCTCACAGTCTTTCATGTCATTTCACGGAATAGAAAAGGGGACATTTGCCTTCTCTTGTTACAGGAAAATAAAACACAGTACTGATAGTCATAAAGATCCCATAACAGAAATACTTCCATTTTAATCTGAGGTTACCAATTTGTAATGACATGGTAAGAGGCCCTGGCTCCCATCCACTCTGTCCTGGCTACAGCTAAAGAATAATATTTGCAGAATCCAAGGGAATCATCACCTCTTATACGTCTTTGTAACTTCAGCCCACACTACACAGCAAGCTCTCTACAAATGTTGAAAGAAGGAACTAAGGAAAGAACCCACTGCTGTTTGTGGCTCTCTTTCTCTTTACTTCCTGTACTGTTCTATTTTATTACTCAAGATAAAGCCTAAAACAGAGAACGGACAAAAATATCACGAAAACTATTTCCTGACAAAACTATTTTAAAACATGAGAATGGCTGGCTAAGATCGTGTTGGTTTCTTTCAGATTTTTATTGTCTGGGTGTGGGTTCTCTCAGCTGAGTGGCAAGAGAATCAAAAGGTGTGTATAAATTCTGCATTCAAGTCTGAAAATGCTCTCATCTGCCCTACCACCTGAAGCTTACATTTTATCAGGTGGCTTCTCCTCGGGTAAACGAGGACAGAAGGGAGAGGGCGGACCTTAAGAGCTTTAGGGAGGAGCCGGTAGTTGCAGCTCAGGTTTGGCAATCAGCTGCGGAGTAGCGGCCCAAGAGAAAAAGAACTCACTCGGTCGCACACACCGACTCATTCTGCGAAGCCCTCCAGTGATACTGAAAATCTCTGCCCTTTGGCCCTTGCCCCCGGCACCTCTCCTGCCCCCCAATCCCCCACGCCCGCCCGTCCCTCGGGAGCTCTGGGCCTCTCACCCGCTGCCAAATTCTCACACAGCCTCAGCGGGACCCTCAGAGCGTAAAGCAGCCCCAGCCCCGCCACGAACCACAGCGAGGCCCCAGTGCCCGCCAGCCCGGCCCGCAGCCGCTCCCTCCAGCCCAGCGGCGGGCTCAGGCCGGGAGCAGGAGCAGGAGGAGACGCCGCAGCTGCCGTTGCTTCACCTAAGCCGTCACCGTCCGCCATCTTGCCGCTCCCGGTGGCGCCGGGAGTTGGGAGGGGAGAAGGGCAGGAAACCGGGAGTCGGGAATCCTGGGATAGTGGCGGACCTGAAGTTGGCCTCTGTGAAGGCTGAGAGTCCCAGGGAACGGGGACCGAGAAGATTTGGAAGGTGGAGGAGCGCCCAAGGACTGGGGCTACCTATTCCTTCCGAGGGAGGGAAGGGGCGGATAGCGGCACCTATTCTGGAGGAACTGGGCTGAGATGTGACCCGGAGTGAAGTGTTTTAACCTCCATACGCGTGAGGGTCACCTTCCACACCATTCCTGGGGTTGAAAAAGCCACCGACCGTTCCAGAGTCGGAGCAGCACTTAGCCCTTTGGACTCGGCTGCCATGGAGAGCACTGGTACTGGGAAAATCTACAGGAGTAGCGACTGCAATTTGGTCGGCCGGAGCTCGGGCGCCAATACCAGCCGAAGCACGCTCCCAACGTCCCATAGATGAATGGGGAAATTAATGTAACTCAGTGAGAAAAATATTAGACTTAAAATCATTTAAGTCACGCCGACTTACTGGGGCGTCGGCGCCCGGGCCCATGACCCACGCCCGTAACTGACATGGCGCCCTAGCGGTCGGCGTTTCCGGGCGGATCCTTCAGACGGCCTTCGCTGTGATTCCATCATTCGGCCTCCTTCCCGGCCTGCCTCGCGCCAGGGCCGGGCTGGGCCAGAGCAGCCCAAGATGGCCGACTTCGAGGATCGGGTGTCGGATGAGGAGAAGGTAAGGGGTCCGCCTCTCTTTTTTACCTCTTCCCGGGACAGGGAACGGGGCCCCGACCCGGCTGCGGTGGGAACCCCGGCAGTACCCCCAGAAGAAAGAAGCGTCTTGGCCTTTGTTGGCATACGCTCTCCGCAGTCGGGATGCTTCCCTCTTGAGGGGCTTTCCTCTGCCTCACGGTGGCCCCAGTTCCCCATTCCTCAACTGTCTTTCCCCCCCGGGCCTGACGCACAGCCCAGTGGCCTTCCTGCGAGAGAAGAGACTTTACCTTATTGAATCGTGACTGTGGACTCTTTTTTGTATTTAAGAGAGGGGGCGATGATGATGTCGCGACGTATCAAGAAGCAGTTATTTTACCGCCTTTAGCTGCTGGGGCTCACCCCATCCCCCCATCTTTAGCTATGATTGGGGCTAGCTTAGGGCGAGTCACTTCCTGGTCAGGGTGGCCTCTTAACTTCCCTTTTGCTCCTCCTTCCTCAGGAAGTAATTTTGCTGTCACGACTTCTCGACAGGGAGAGGTCTCTAAGGTGTTGGCCGCCTATCCACACACACCCCTTTTCCCACATGCTGTCGGCTGAACTAATTCGCAGTAATAAATGTGTAAGCCTCAGGGACATTTGCTTCAGGATTTGAACACCACTCTTTTCTGTGTAGACACTCCCTTGATTGTATGTATACGGCGCCCGCGGTGACTCCATCCCTTCCATCTTACAATCTTTTAACGATAATTTTTGAAAAATAGTTTTCCATTTCTTGTTAACAAGGCTAGCCAATGAGTTTTTCTTTTTAACTCCAGAAAGGTTTTATGTAGCACATAAACTTCATGTTAACACATTCAAGTCTGGACAAAGCATCCTGCCTTCTTTGGTGCTCCAGTGTGGTATCTTTTTGATTATAGTTGAACTTGACACTGAGTAATTTGTACAATTAATTTCTTTAAAAGTGTCTTAAATACAAGAGAATATTTCACCTTAGGTGGAATAACTTTTTTCCTGACAGCTGCACACCTTTCTTAACAGTTTGTCAGGCTTTTCAGTAAATATGTTAAAGATTTTAGAGTCCATGGAAATTACAATGGTTCATTACATAACTCGTAAAAGGACAAGAATTATGTCTTTTGTTTTCCACAGTGGTTTTTACAAAATGTACACCCTTGAATGCTCTGTAAATGTATCTGGGGTTTTCCTCTTTTAATAAAAGAGATTGGGATGGCAAAGGGGACTGTTCATGATCCAAGAGTCCTCTGTACAGAATAATTTGATATACATATGCCATGCCATTTTGAAACGCTGAAGAATGTGCTAAATATTCACATGCCGTTGAACAACTCTTCAGCATTAGATTTTCTCATACTTGGAAATTGATTCTCATAAATGTATAAGATTCGGGGGGAAAGGGCATTTTACACTGTATATGAACTTATGCTAGAGAGAAAACTATAATAAAATGTTTATTCTAAGGCAAACAGTTATGATTCACATGAAATTAAGTTACAGTGAAAATCATGGGATAACAAAACATTTGTTAGCCCAACTGATGGTCCTCTTACTTTAAGCAAAAATACTGTTACAGCAAAATTTCACTAAGAATTTAAGGTAATAAACTTTGAAGTTTACCAGTGTTGGGTTTTTGTTTTTGACACAGGGGTAGAATGCCTTTCTAATTAAACTTGGGGGGAAAATATGTATTTCAAAGTGTAAAGATGTCTTTGGGTATTGACAGTGTTCAAATTAGTAACATTAACAGCCTTGATTTTGTAATAGCAGATCTCTGACCAGTTTTCTCTTATATCCCAGCATACTTCTTTTGCTGTTTAATTTTAATAATGACAAAGCAAGCAAATCATAATTAGTAAGGTAAATCTACTGCCAAAAAATGTTGATGAATTTTATATTCAGTGAACAGGTTTTAGATTAACTACATTGTTTTCATTAGTGAGATAATTAAGAATAGCTGATATAAAAAAACTCATATAATAAATCCTTATGATTTGGGATTACTGAAATTTTGTTAGATTTTTATTCCCAGAGATGAAGTGATCTGTATTTCTCTGTTGTGGATCAATAAGTAAAAAGAAAGGGCTTTGACTTGTAAGATTACTTAAATTCTCCTTCAGTTTTATACCTACCTTGACCCCTTTTCCTCCAGGCTTCTGATGCCTTTTAACTGAATTCAAGAATTGAAAAAGTATTTTTCCTAAAAGACTTGTTGATATGAATGTCTTAGCATTCATAAACAATAAGTGACCCTTAAGCGAGATTCTTGTTGTACAAAACTTTCATAACCAAGGCACTATTACAAACAAGATATTTTCAGGCTTAGTTTGTATATTGACTCTTCCTCAAAGGAACCGTGAAGTTTTCATTTTTTTTTTAATTTTAACTAAGACCTCAACTGCATTTGATTTGATTTTTTTTAACACGTGTGTCATGCCAAATATATTTTAATACTGCTTTTTATCTTTGTTACATTTTCTGAAAGCAGTGAACCCAGAGGTGAATTTGGTGGTGATGGTCTCTGGTTTCCTTGCAAGTATTTCTATAAAAGCTAGTAAGATCAACCATTCTCATAACCAACTGCTGAAGTTTTTTTGTTTTTTGTTATTTTTTTTGCGGTACGCGGGCCTCTCACCGCTTGCGGAGCACAGGCTCCGGACGCGCAGGCTCAGCGGCCACGGCTCACGGGACCAGCCGCTCCGTGGCACGAGGGATCCTCCCAGACCGGGGCACGAAGCCGTGTCCCCTGCATCGGCAGGCGGACTCCCAACCACTGTGCCACCAGGGAAGCCCACTGCTGAAGTTTTTATCACTTTATAAAGAGGAAGTTGGTTTTTTTAACTTCTGCATTGTTACCTGAAATGGTCATGATGAGCTGCCTAAATAAAACAGGAAGTTGAAAGTATAATAACTTGCAGAAATAACTACTTTTAGTTTTATCTTCAAGTTCAGTTTCTGAGAATGAGCTCTACTCCTCTAGTTACTTAGACTTTTCAGTTACTTGGTTCCAAAATGAAAAGATGCCATAATTAGGAAACTTGAGGTATGAGGTGAACTATGTGTTTGGATTCTTTGTACTGACTGTTTCCTTTATTTCATGATTCAGCATTTTTAAAACATAAATGCAGACTGAATTTTAGGGCTGAAAAAAGTGCTAATAGCACATTTTTTTCCCTTCAGCCTAGCTAGTAGAATATTTGTGTACAACTTCAAAAGTACCATAACTGAAAAATGGATCCCTTTGCTTTTAGTTTAGACAATACCATCTTTAAGGCACTTTTTGAGAAATGGGTTTATCAAAATTATTTAGGAGAGATGTGGAAAATGTTGTAAATAGATACTGAAATTTGAGGGCTCTGTTAGAGCTTATGAAAAATATTTATACTTTTAAAGTGGATTTCCTTGATTATGTGTTACCCCTTTAATTTAGTAGGTGAGTTATTACCCTTACAGGGCGAAATAAACCCTAAAGCTTAATTGCCATGGCTATTTTGTGATAAGTCGTTGACTAGAATTAATACTACCATTTTTAAATCTTCTCTTCTGTTAGCTTTGCTGAGTAGTATTCATATGATCTGTTACAAAATCCTTGGACAGGAGCATAAAGCCTAAGCAGGTACAAACTCAGATGCCAATCTTCGGTGAGGAGCGTAGGTTCATTATAATTTCTTCTAGAACATCTAGCTGTTTTATTAGGACCAGCCTTAATGCTAAGCAAAGCAGTGTAATTTGTCAAAAAATTCAGACCCCAGGTTGGTCTAATTCAGAAGCCATGCTTTTTTCACTATACTGTTTTTAACATGTATCCATGAATGAAGAAATCAGAATAGAGTCATCCATTTAATGAATTATAAATGAGGTATTGTGGGGTAGTGGGAAGGAATGATTCTGAGCCTCAGGAGATTTGGCCTCTCCTTGCTATGCTTTTGGTCACCAGTGTGATTTTTGAAAATTCACATACCTCTGTGGGCCTCGAAAGTTTTCTTCTAAAATAGGTAAGGGAAATTGGATCAGACTGACTGAACAAAGTTTAATGAACTTTTTCAAACTCTAATTAAAAAAAAAACACACACACAACTCTAAGAAACTGAAACATTAAAATGTTCCAGGAGTTTCTGTCATTGTTTACTTTGGCACATTTGCCCCATAACGAACCTGTGAAATTCTTGGTTACTGCAAGCAAGTCTTTTTATCTAGTGCCTAGCATACTACCAGGTACATAGTGTAGGCACAAGCTATTGGTATGAAAGAGACCAATCAA